AGGTGGGGAGCCGAGGTGCAGCCAGAGAAGCCTCGGTAGACAAGGATTAAGTCATGTGGGGGCCTGCAGAACAGTGGGCAAGGATGCTCTTGGAAGCACGCCCAGGCCCAAGGACAGCCCTGAGCTGCGCGGGGTGTGAAGGGAGGTTGAGAGTGGTGGCTCGGAGCCTGCCTGAGACTCCACTTCCTGCCCTTCCCCAGACCCCGAGGCTGCAGAGTTCTCTAAACCCGCTCAACACCAGCAGCATTTTTTGAGGAGAGTGAAGAGGCGAGAAAAACAATTTATAGGTAAAGAAATACCCAGGGCACCAGACCGAGGAAGGTGGCCCCAGAGGACAGAAAGCGGCCGTTCCTCTGCCACACGCTGGCAGGGGCGGGCAGAGGCCAAAGGCAGGGGGACCCGAGGCGGGGGGCGGCTCGCTGTTCGGCCTGAGCACCCGCCCCTTCCTCCCTGCGAGTTGCTCAAGCTCTGACCTTTCCCTTGCCCGTAAAGTGGGGCCAGGCAGGACTGTTGGGTTAGTAGCACAACAGCACACGTGTGGCGTGCGAGGGCCACGCTGCGTGGACGGCAGGCGGCCGATGAGCACCTTGACGTCTCCTCCCTTCCCTCCTTGGGCAGGCGGGGCCCCTCCCTCGCCAGGCCTGGTGCCCGGCCCCTGCCCAGACCCTACGGGGGGCGGGGGGCGGCCCTCGGAGTCCAGAGTCAAGAAACATCTCCGGGGTCATGGAGTCGGCAGGTGCTTGGGACTCTGGGGGCTGGGCAGGCCCGAGGCAGCATGAGGCCATGAGGTCGAGAAATAGGGTGTGGGCCCCCAGGACTGGGGCTCGGCTCTGCCGCCTGTGCCTGCGGGCTGGGCAGACCCGGAAAGCACGCTCGGCGGACTGCCGTGGTCACCTGGCACCCCTGGGGACGCTCCCTCCCCAGATGGCTGCTCCTCCCACAACACGGCCACGGCAGTGGCAGCCCTGGGTGGCTTCCTCTACATCCTGGCTGGATACAACGGGGAGCCCCAGCCGGCCTCGCCGGTGCCGCCCTCGGGGAGTGAGCGCCGCACCTGCCACCCACCCGGAAGATGAAACAGCTGCCTCGGGTTCCCCCCACCGCCTCGGGCCCCCCGCCTCGGCCCCCCCGCCTCGGGGTCCCCCCACCTCAAGCCCCCCGCCTCGGGTCCCCCCACCTCGAGCACCCCCCGCCTCGGGGCCCGCCGCCTTGGGGTCACCCCTGCCGCCAGTCCCAGGCTACATCAGAGAAGCAGATGGGCGAGGCTGCCCCCGCATCCCCTCTGGGGAGCAGGGCTGGAGGGGGGCTGGGCTGCACGCAGGCCTGGCGGCCGATGAATAAATGTAGAACACTGGAACTGGGGCTGCGTCTCCTTTGTCCGCCTTCAGACAACGCCTCGGTCTCCGTTCCCAGTCCTGAGCCCACACCACCCAAATCCTAACGAAACCCATAAACTTTAGTCTCAACGACGGTTTGTTCAGATGTCAGCTGTCGCGTCTTCAGTGGGAGACCAAGGACCCCCGAAAGGACAGTTGGAATCCTGACCTGGAACTGGAGAGAGGACCCGGAGAGGCAGCACACCGAGTCTGAGTCCCGTGCGGGGAACGCTGGTACCTTTATGTCACGTGGCTCCCGGCCATGGCACTTTACAGAGGCAGGAGAGCCCACTGGCCAGCGCGGTGCTCCGTGGCCAGGCTCCCTGAGTCCGGGCCCCGGGCGCCCCATGCAGGCTCCAGTCCGGGGCCCAGTCGTGGACACCTCTGTTGCCTCATCAGGACACGCGGGGTCTTTGTAGCACAGGATTACGCAGGGTCCGCGAGCGTCGCCTTTAATGACGGGTAAGTCACCTGCCGTAGCAGCGGCCCCGGCAGGTGGGGCCGGCTGGGCTGTGCAGGTTCCCGGCCTGCAGCGGCTCTTCCGGCGGCCAGCTCGGCCTGCTGCCCACGTGTGCCCCGGCGCTTGGACAGTGTTTGCATAGGGACCTGGATTCTCATTTCGGGCCCGGTGCTGAAGACTGATTCCCAGTCTAAGACGCAAGGCTGGAAGGCTTTAAAGTGTATGGTCTCGCCCTGCCCCAAATAGAAAGCAGGAGCCAGCCGGCCCCTGGGACTGCTTCGTCACAGTTGACAATGAGTTAGAACTTCCGCTGGGGCCTGTCTGGGGGCGCAGGAGTTCAAGTGTCAGAGCTGTGAAGCCGCCGCCAGCCACTGTGACAGGAGTTCTAGCCCCAGCTAGGCAGTGACCCCGGGAGGCCGCTCCTGTCTCCCTGCGGCTCCCCTCAGAACTGTATTTTGGCGGATCTGCCTGTTCCACTCCCCACTCTCTCTGGTGAGCCCTGCACCTCTGGTGTACACCCAGTTCTTGTTTGAATAAACAAAATCAATCTTTCTTTTTCAATACTTTATTTATCCATAAATAAAATGTGGGTCACTCCCTGGCCAGGGATTGAACTCGTGCTTCAGCGGCGACCCCGCGTGTCCTGATGAGGTAACAGAGGTGTCCACGACTGGGCCCC